TTGTTCATTGTTGTAAGATGAGGTTAAAGGCACTTGCTCAATTAATGCATGCTCAAAGCTATAAGCTTTTTTTCAATACAAATTTAACAAGATAGAAGCAAATGTTTGTTTCAGTATTGTTCGAAGCATTTCTTTTATGTTAGTTTTGATCTTTATTGTTTACAATTAGTCAATTTGTGCTAAACAAGCAACTGAAGCAAGGATTTGAACATGGGCAATATTTTGGCACTGCATTCAATAAAAGCTCTAGCGATAAAAGCTCTAGCGATAAAAGCTCCAGTGTGGACGTTCCACTACAAAACAATCCATTAATAACACCGAGTCTTCTGAAGATATGTTTGCTGATGATACTAGCATAACTGCTTCAAATAATGATATAGTTGAACTAGAAAAGACAGTAAACTCTGACTTGAATAATCTTGAAAAGTGGTTGATAGCAAACAAACTTAGTTTGAATTCAACCAAGACAAAATATTTGATCATAGGCTCGAAACAAATGATCAAGAATGTTTTTACTTCTAATTTGCATATTGCAATTGGCAATTACGTTATAAATAGAATTTATGAGTACGAAAGTTTGGGCTTAAAAATTGACCAACACTTATCTTGGAGGAGTAACACTGATAAAATTTGCAAAAAAGTAGCAGCCGGTATCTCCGCCCTTAGAAAATTAAAGCAATACACAGACAAACAAACACTTATCTCTATTTATATTGCCCTGGTACGTCTTTGGCATGAATATTGTGTAAAAATCATGATTTATTGTCTTTGGCATGCAAATGTATGAAAATCATCAACTACAGCCTTTGGCATGAAAATGCGTAAAAATGCATGAACTATAGTCTTTAACATTAAAATGTTTCAAAATGCATGAACTATAGTCTTTGGCATGAAAATGTGAAAAAATCATGATTTTAAGTCTTTGCCATGAAAATGTGTTAAAATCATGACCAAGAATCTTTGGCAGGAAAATGTTTAAAAATCATGAACTATCGTCTTTGGAATGAAAATCTGTGAAAATCATTAACTACAGTCTTTGGCATGAAAATGTGTAAAAATCATGATTTATAGTCTTTGCCATGAAAATGTGTGAAAATCATAAACTATCGTCTTTTGCATGAAAATGTGTGAAAATCATGATTTATAGTCTTTGGCATGAAAATGTTTGAAAATCCATAAACTATAAACTTAAGCATCAAAATGTGTGAAAATGCAC